GGTGGGGCTCTTCCCAAGTCACTTCTCATTGCTGGGCTTGTTTCTTTCAGATGAGGGTGTCAGAACACCTCAGTCAGGATCCTGCCAGCTTCCATTCTCAGGTTCTGCACCATAACCTTGCATTTGCTCCTTGATGGGGGCCGGGGATGCTTTGTTCATGAGGATAAGAGAACAGGAACGTTGAGTTTAAATTATTAAAGATGCCCTTTTAGTTGCTCAGAATCAAGGAGCACAGCCTTTATCTTTGAACGGCTGGAGCTGGCATTGCACCTTGCGGGTCATCTAGGCCACAGCCCTCATTTTACTGATGATTAGCCAGGATGCAGAGATGGGGTAATACCACCTGTTATGAGCTTTCTCTTCCTGTGAATAAAAATGCTGGTCGGCAGGCATTTCTTTTTTCAACTTGAAAGGACGAGGTTTGGTCCTTGGTCTCAGGGAGAATCTGGCTTCACCGAGTGACAGGAGAACCGCAGGCAAAACAGACACATCAGAGCCAGAAAGTTCCCAGGTCCAGACTGTGAGTGGAGGCTAGTCAGGGACAGGCCTGTGGTGGCTGCTGGAACTGTGGCGGCGGCTGGAACTGTAAGGGACCCGAGGCAGATGGAGCTAGTGTGTCCCATGTGCCCCCAGGTAGGTCGGCCCCTTGGAGAGTTGAGGCCCATGGGTTGGGAGAAAGGACCAGGCCTTGGGATCCACTGATTGGAAGTCACATTGTGCAGGTGGCTTCCTGCACAGGTGACATTTGAAGCACGTGTCCTCATGAGTCCAGTGAAGTGTTCAGTGTGCAGAGAGAGGAGAGGAGAGGAGGGCCTGACCAGGCCCAGGAGTAAGTGCCGCTGGAGCTGAGAGGAAGGGACCCAGAAAGGGAAGGGCCAGGAATCGCAGCCCCATTCTTGGGAGGCAAAGGGGGGCACCGGAGGGTGGTGGGTGGGACAGCCCAGTGGAAGGGAGTGAGGAGAGGGACGGCACAAAGACAGGTCATGGACCTCAGTGTCCTGGACCAGGCTGAGGTGTCTAAGTCCCATCAGGGCAGGTGACAGGGCACTGCCTCGGGACTGGAGGCGAGGCTGTGCCCAGGTGGGCAGTCGGGGTGTAGATCAGCACTGAGGTGGTAGACAGAGGACAGAGCATGGCACCTGCTCGGACTCCTGCTGTTCTGTACCCCATTTCTCTGATACCTCTTGCATGGTCCCTTTGCCTCCGTTTCTTCTGTCACTCACCTTTCAGGCTGGCGTCATTTCTAGTCTGCACCATCACACACAGCTACCAGTTGGTCTTCCTGCCTTCAGTTTCTTTTCTCGTCAGTCTTCTCAGCATTTTTACTGCCAGCCTTTTTCTAAATTGTGGTCCGAATCATCATTGTGTTGCTCCTGAATCCCCCATGGCTTCACATTGCTACCTGGCTACGTGCGGATCTCCTTGCTGGTTCCAGCTCTCTTTCCCTGCAATCCTCTGCTCCAGAGACAGCCGTGTTTGTGTCATTACACACATCTCCCTGCAGGGCCCTGTCCACTTCCTCACCTGATGGTGCTCCAGCCGCCCTCCACACCCTGATGGCCAGCCTCTGTGCTGCATTCTCTGCTGTCCTTGGTCCTAATTCCTGTGGGGGCTACTTAAACAATTCGAACACAAAGAACGCTGACACATAATTTAGTGACTTGTGTTTTACTTTTCTCTCCTTCATGAGCCTGTGAGACCTTTCAGTGGGTTGGGACTGTGTCTTTTTGTCTCTGTGTCCCCAGCACCAGGCTGAGCGGACTTCAGTCGATTAGTTGGGCAGAGAAATTGAAGCCGAGCACAGATATCCCTGGGAGCATGGAAGAGAGACGGGCAGGCAAGGACCAGGATGGAATTGGTCAAAATAATAATCATTTTTTTCTTCTCAAGTAATCACAGTCATTTTCATTTTTTTCAACTAATTAAGTACCTGTTCTATTTGGCACGTGGGGGATACTAAGAGGTATCAAATCCAGTCTTTCCTCAAGAGTCTTGAGATTTAGTCTGTAAACCCCACACGCAGTAACAGCAAGCACAGGTGACAAAAGCCATGAGGATGCTGTGAACAAGTACTGTTGACCTCAGCGAGGAAGGGCCCAGTGCTGACTGAGATTAGGCTTCTGGGGTCTCCAGGGTGGAGGTTGGTGGGCAGCGGGGTAGGCGTAGAGCCCAGTCCAGGGAACAGAATGATGTTGGCAGGGTGTCAGATCGAGCGTGCAATCCATGTTTTGAAGTGAGGTGTCATTTTGACTGCCTCTGGGTAGATGGCCTTCCCTGATTTAATTGTTTGTGTGACCGTGTGTGTTTTGTTTGTGTCTCTGTTTTCTAGGCTCAAACCATGAATTACGTTGGGCAGCTTGCGGGCCAGGTGTTTGTCACTGTGAAGGAACTCTACAAGGGCTTGAATCCTGCCACCCTGTCCGGATGCATTGACATCATTGTTGTCCGCCAGCCCAACGGGAGCTTGCAGTGCTCCCCATTCCACGTCCGCTTTGGGAAGATGGGGGTGCTGCGCTCTCGAGAGAAAGTGGTGAGAGCAGGGGACCCAGGGACCCCAGGGGTAGATTCTGTCCTTAAAGAAAATCACCCTATTTCTGTGGCCTCATGTATCTGGAGCTGGTCGTAGGCCCAGATTTTTAGCTCTCTGTTGGAAAGGACTGTTCACTGAACTGACAGTTAATTCAGATTGTTCTGGTTACTATGGGTGTGTGAAGTACTCCGAAGTTTAGTGGTGTAAACCAGCTGTTTATTAAGCTCCTGGGTTTTGTGGTCAGGAATTCAGATAGCAGGGTGGTCTGTCTGCTGTCACTGTCCAAGACTTCAGCTGGAAGACTTGAGGCTGGGGGCTGGAACCCTCTGGTGACATGCTCATTCACATGACTGGAGGCTCTTGGCTGGCCTCTCAGGAGGCTGTTGGCCTCTCCATGTGGCTTGGGTGTCCTCACCACATGATGGCTGGCTACAGGGTGAGCATGTCGAGAGAAAGGGAGCCCAGTGGATGCTGCATTTTTTTTTTCTGACCCAGCCTCTGAAGTCAAATAGTGTCACTTCTGTTGTGTTCTTCTAGTTGAGGGAATCAAAGCCTGCCTGGGCTCCAGGTGCTGGTGGTGTGGGTTGGGATGTAGATCCCATTTTCCAATGGGGAAGAGCAGGTAGGACCAGATTGATCAACTGAGACTTGGAATTGTGAGCTCTCTGTGGCCTGTATATAGTTCAAGTGCACACACATGTGGAGGTGTGGTCATCCCTGAGGTTTGTGTCCTGTTTTGGAGACGTACGTTTTTCTTTCAGGTTGACATAGAAATCAACGGGGAGTCTGTGGATCTGCACATGAAACTGGGAGATAATGGAGAAGCATTTTTTGTTCAAGAGACTGATAATGATCAGGTAAGGAAGGCTGGGCAGTCAAGGTTACTTCCCGGCTTTGCGCCTTGAGCAGCGCTGATACAGGAGACAAGCAGAAGTGTGGGAGGTGAATGATGCTGGCGCTGTGGACAATGGCGACAGAGAAAGCAGGCGTTTCCCTGGGGATCTGAGCCAGACAGGGTGGTGTGTGCTGGGCCCACACAAGACTCAGCAGTCCTGGCCACTTCCACTTGCTCCCTGTCTCCAGGGAGACAAAGTCACCACGTCGCTGTGGCCTGAACCATTGCCTAAAGCGTACAGATTACGCTGGTGTCAAATCTCAGATGGCTGAGTGACCAGATTGCTTTTATTTTTATTACTTGAAAATGCCTAATGGCGTGTTGAGATAATTCTCGTGCCATATAATTTATCTATTTCAAGTGTACAATTCAGTGCTTTTTCACAGGTGTGTGCGACTATTACCACGGTCCATTTTAGATCATGTTCATCACCTCAGAAAGAAGCTCTGTGCCTTTTAGTTATCCCACTCCTCCCTGCCATCCCAGCCCACCCCTACTAATCTACTTTGTGTCTCAATAGATTTCCCTTCCCTGAGCTCTCATGTGAAGAGGATCCTATAGTGTGTGTTCCTTTATGCCTGTCTCCTGTCAGCGTAATATTTCCAAGGCGACCCACGTTCCAGCCCGTGTCGGTGCTTCATTCCCTTGTACGGCGAATGGCTTCCATTTTGCCCATACACCATGCGCTGTTTATCCTCCACATGCTGGTGGACACTTGGGTGGTTTTCACCTTTTTGCTGTTGTGTATAGTGCTGCTCTGAACATTTGTGTATAGGTTTCCATATGGATATGTGTTTTCACTTCTCTTGGGTGCATACCTGGGAGCAGAATTGCTGGGTCTGATGGTAACCCTGTTTAACATTTGAGGAACTGCCACACTGTTGTTCAGAGCTGCTGTACCACTTAACTTCCCACCAGTACATGAGAGCTCCTGTTTGTCCACATTGTCACCAATACTTGTGATCCATGACTTTGTGATTACAGCCATCCTAGTGGGTGTGAAGTGATTTGCTGAGGACCACAGAGGGCCTTCCTGGCTGGCCTCACCGAGTGCCAGTGGGTGGGACAGGGTCTGGAGCCCAGAGTATGTTCTGTCCCATACCATGCCCCTTTCTGTTTCTGAGAGGCTGCTACAAACTGGGGACCCTGTGTCCTTCCTCACCAGGTTGCTGCAGGGTCCCGTCTCCCCTCTACCACAGAGGTGCACCCCTCTCCTTTTCAGTCTCTGGAACTTCTTTTCTGCTCTTGACCCAGTGCAAGCACTCTCTCTGTGTCTTCTTCATTTGGTCCCGTTGAGCAGCTGGGTGAGATGGCCCCTCCCATCCCTTCCAGCCCAAGGCTGCCACTCTCCCATGGAGGTTTCATGAGTCATTAATAAAATGGTTCCTATGGCTTTAAAAAATTGGTGGATCATTATCAATCAACTACTAGAATGACAGGCTGTGTTTTTTTTCCCTTTGTTTTTAAGAAAAGGGTCAATATCTAACTACTTGCATCCATGTCCACATACCGGGATGCGCTCTAGCGTAGGCAGGCACTTGGGGTGCCGGCGGGCGGGGGATTGCCCAGTGTTACTCTAAAAATTATTGACGTCTTAACTCAGTGCATATTAAAAAATGGCACATACACATTCTCTCTTACGCATACCTTTACGCACACTGAAATGCAAAATGGAGTCCAGTTCCCAGGGTAATGTGATGACTCAAAGCCCATTTCTTTCTTCTTTACTCTGGATAGTTCAAAGTTGAATCTTGGTGGCCTGAAATCACTGATAACTACCTCACTTGTTATAATTATGAAAAGGGGGATTCAGTACAAAATGGCATTTAATGAATTAAATGTTGACTTTGTGATCTTCGGTCAAATTCGGCAGCCACAGCTAAAGGTCACTGTGACGCTTACACTGCCCTGCGTGGCCCCCCTCCCCCCCCGAGGAGTGCTGGGTTCCTAGATTAACACTGGCCCACTTGTGGCACGATCTCCCTCCTTCAGCCCAAATTCACGGGCCTGTTTTTACAAAACATTTTCTGTCCTTTAGGAAGTGATCCCCATGCACCTGGCCACCTCCCCTATCCTGTCGGACGGAGCCTCGCGCATGGAGTGCCAGCTGAAGAGGAGCCCTGTGGATCGGATGAGAAGCCTGGACCCCAGTGCGGCAGCCCCGGCCTTGCCTCCCAGTGAGACCCCTTCCAGTGGCTCCTTCGTGAAGAAGAGAAGGAAGCGGAGGAGAAAGTCCCAGCTGGACAGCCTGAAGAGAGATGACACCTCGAACACGTCGGAAGATGAGGACATGTTTCCCATAGAGATGAGCTCCGATGAGGAGCCGGACCCTCCGGGCAGCAGCAGGTAAGTGCTGATCAAAGGCAGGGCCGGGTCAGAACCGGGCGACATAATTGTTTCAGATGATTCCTATAATTTTCCTCCCCACAGTTCCTTATTCTTCAGTGAATGCATTTTAGACTGAGTCCTGGAATCCTGTTTACCCAGTCTTTTAAGTAGCAGAGGTTTAATGTGGCTTATAACTAAGAGATGATCGCAAACGCCAGACCTCCTTGGCTGCTCATTTCAACATTCCAGAACAGAGCCGGGAAGCAGGAGCCGAGCAAACTAATACTTCAGGCGTGAACCTGGGACTTCAGAACCTCCATATTCTGAGCACCGGCTGTGTGCGTGCACTTGGCCAATTGCTGCCTGGGTGATCTGTGTTGGAATCAGGGTTGCATGTCAGTGTAGCACGGGGCCAGTTTTCTCCATGTGCACACTTCTCAGTTTTGATCAGACCCCAGAGTTTAATGGATGTCTGTTTTATTTTCCTTTGCTTTTAACAGTGTGCTGAAATCCTGTTTCTTTATTTGACTATTTTGTTGAACAATGACAGTTTTAAAAGACAGCTCATTTGTGAAGAATATTCAATGTTTCAGGTTTCCGTGTACGTCAGTGTAATTCTGGATAATTGTTTTTGTATCCTATCAATATAAAGATGGGATAAGGAGCACCAGGGATATCTCCTTGCTTCATCATTCAGAAGAGAATATTTTTTTCCCTGGCTAAAAATAAAGGCACACTGGCCAGGTTGCATTTCCTAAGCTTGGCCTCTTGTCTGCTGTGGGCTCGGAAACTAGTGGTTGGGCTTTTAATTCCGGAACTCAGTGATATGTGATATTTCAGGTGACGTCCACAATGCAGACAGATGGCCTCTGGCTGAGTGTAACAGCAATCACATTTGTAATGAGTGTGTTATACCTGAAATGAGGTAGATTTGGAATCGTCTTGTAATTATAAGATACATCTGGTTTATATCGTTTATTTATTCTACTAGATGAAACATTGGGTGTGTATTGTCATTCAGTTACTCAGCAGCTCCCCTGTGGATGGCAAGAGTTTTATTATCAAATTTTATAATACCGGGATCCAGTTTGGGGCCCAATCTGCCTCTCAGGTTTTCATGAGATGACACGTAAAAGGCAACCAGATGAGGTGTTACAAAGCATAAATAATAGGCAGGGCTATCAACACATTTGTATGTATCTCAGTTTTTTCCTCTCTCCTGCCTGGAATAGGGCTGGGGGTTTAAAGAGATCACCTGCCTCCACAAAGCACTAAGAGCTAATCACGAACAAATGGAGACTTGCCTTTGTTATGAAACTGCCCATAATAATTCTTTGACTTTAATTTTTTTTTTAAATTTATTTTTAATTTTTTACCAGAACGCTTTCTAGTGACATACCTCCATTCCAAGAAGATGTCCCTAAGGAGAGCCTGTCTCCAGTCATGCCTTATTCTCAGTCATCATCGTACCCTAATTCCGACAGAGAGTGGTCACCCACTGCCAGGTAAGCTACTGGGTGTGTGTGTGTGTGTGTGTGCTCACCTGTCCTGGTCCGGGGGATTAGAAGCCAGTTCTAGGAAATATGTTTACTAGAATAGAAACATAAATGAAAAAGTGAAATTAGGACCAGAAAAAAATGCAGTTTAGAGTAAGAGGTACAGACGAGGATTGAAAACAGCACATGCAGATCACAGATCAGAGTTGAGCTGCAGATATGGCTCTTAGCTCCTGCAGGTGACAGAAAGGAGAACCCTTGTTAAGTGACATATGCTAACTGCCAATTGGAGCAAACAGGTGGTAGCCTTTCTTGATACTTATCTCCAAAGTAAGAGTCAAGCAGCGAGGTGGCTTCAGGGGCCACTAAGGCCACTTGGGGCTGTTAGAATGATGCCTTCTCCCCAAGCACAGTCTGCTGAATTCAAGGGTATTTACTTCCCTGAAATGAACTCTGGAGTTGTCCTGGACTTCTGGTGTAAACTGGGGAACCAGAGCTGCCCAGCTTGCATATCGCCACACTGAGACTCTGATATGTTTAAGTCAGGGGAACCTGTGAGAACGTGTGTTCCCTTCTGGGTGGTTTTCAGAATGGGAGAGGGGACAGACTAAATCATGAGATCTCAGTAGGGGCGATAGCCAGCCATTGGGACGAAAACTGGTTCTCGGGTAGCAAGAACAATCTTAGATAGTATGCTGGTCTGTGGCACAGCACGTAAACAGATACCCAGTACATCATGGCATTAAAATTTCACGGTGGAGGGAGGACTGTTAGGGAAAAAAGGCCCCAAGATGCTCAGGGTTGTAGTAATAATGAAAAAGGTTGAGAAATAGCGACTAAGCTATAGTGAATGGCAACCTTGGGTTACTCTTAGTCTTTTTTTTTTTTTTTAAGAATTTTTTTTTTTTT